ACAATAATCCAATGCTAATACTACAGAAAGATCATAACTTAAGTTCTACTCAGACTATACCATAACCAGTTGAGTTTACTTACTCTCTGTATTTCTTTTGCAGGTTGTCTACAGCCATCTTACCGGTTAACCAACAAACTGGCAGGCGTTTGGAAAAGTTTTTTTTTTTTTACATGTTTTGAATTGCTTCTTTAGTATATTCCCCAAATTTACATCTAAGCTCTAATAAAAGTGTGATTTTTTTGCAATTTTCTCAAAATGGAGAACGATACGTGTCCTAAGAGGAGCGAAAGCGGAGAACAATTGGCTTGCCCCGGTCTGATTCTGCCGCTATTTCCGGGCGAAGAAGATTGGAACCAGGGGTTTAGGGGGTTTTTGTATTTGGTGGCGCTGCTATGGAGTTTCATGGGAGTGGCTATCGTTGCTGATATTTTCATGGTTTCAATCGAAGTTATTACAAGCAAGACAAAGAAGATCAAACTAGCTAATCCTAGCGCGCCAGGTGGAATTGAAGTGGTGGAGATCCGAGTATGGAATGACACCGTGGCGAACCTTACTCTCATGGCATTAGGATCTAGTGCTCCTGAAATTCTTCTATCTATCATTGAGATTGTTGGGAATGAATTCTTCGCCGGAGAACTTGGACCAAGTACGATCGTAGGTTCTGCGGCTTTCAACCTGTTTGTCATAACAGCCGTTTGTATAGTTTCAATTCCAAAAGGAGAAACAAAACGGATTCGAACTATAAAAGTATTTATGGTGACTACATCCTTTTCAATCTTTGCATACATCTGGCTTTTCCTTGTCGTTTCTGTGATTTCTGAGGGTGTGGTACAACTATGGGAGGCCATTGTCACATTCATGTGTTTCCCGATACTCATTATTATTGCGTTTATCGCAGACAAGGATTATTGTGGCGAAAAGAAGGAGACTACAGAAATTGAGCTCGGAGTTGGTGAGTAAAAATTTATCAATTTAATTTATTTTCTTTTGATTTTTCTTTATAATGTTCTATTGAATTATAGCATGTATAATCTTAATATTTTTTCTGCATTTATTTTTCTAATTCACTGTATGTTTATTAAGTTCACTTTTTCTAGTATATATTAAATAATTTGATGTTCTTTTTGAGAAGAAAAGCGACATTTTCCATATAGTTTATAACCATTTTTCAGTGTTGAATTGCCCTTCAAATTTAAGTTGTAAATACAACCTGTAATTTTTAGCAAATGCTCTGTTAAGATGAGCTGTCTAACAAGCCTGGTGGTTAAAATGCTTGCAAGAGTCCGAGTCTTATGATTGGATTGGATTTATTTTGTGTGAACACCAAAGGATGAAGCTAAATATGTCACTGTTGTATGCCCATATATAGTCATGATGTACCTATATATGGTCATAATATGATATCATCATGACCATATGTAGGCATGTCACATTTTTTTGTCAAATAAAATTTGATAGTCTGGACTGGGCTTAACACACAAAAGACTTTCAGTTTTCGGTGGGGTCCTTCTGGTGGTGATTGAGCAGGCAATCTCCTATTCTTCTGATAAATGTTCTTTATTCTTTAGCATGCACATGGGCCTTATTATTGCACATGAGACAATTGCCAAGAGCCTAAACGAACGATGGTGCAATTTTTCTATACTTGCATTATAGCCGTCCAGCTGTAACTTAGTGTAACACAAGAAGAGCAGATGGAATTGAACCGGGGACCAAATGATCCCCATTAGTCACACAGAGACTACTACCAGTTTAGCCGACTTACTGTAGCTACTGTATGCTGTTCTCTGCATAAGATTTCCTGATAAATTGTAAATTTCCAAAGCCTCATGCAGTATGCAGATAGAATAGAACATTGTTCTATGCTTTATTTAGTGATTGTTTATTAAATATGAAGGAAACTATAAAAATATTCTAGACAATAATAACCTGTTTGCACGTTTTTGTGTGGGAGGTAACGCAAACTGTGTCAACAAGCGAAATATTAAACTTTTTTTTTTTTCGCTTGAGAGGTTTTCTATTACATTCCTACTCATTTGAATTACACTACAGCTAATACCATATTTGGTGTGGTATAGTAATTGTGGTTTGTTAATGCTTTGTACTAGAGTTTCAAGAATGATTTACCTTATATTTTGAATTTGTATGTGAAATAAAATTTTTAAAAAAATATTGGTACAATAATGAAATACAGTACAGAAGAATTCCCATTAAGCAGAAAATTTTGTGACGAAAAAATATGTTCACTGAATAGGAGTTGGCAGTTATTATATTATAAAATAAAATATTATAAAATTTTCTTCTTAATAGGATAGCCCCAAAATAGGAGATACTCCTAATGTATGGTCCAGTTTTGACAGGCTGTAGCCTACAGTTGGCCTACTGTACAACATCGCTATGGTAATGTTGAGGGTGGCATGATTAGAGTTATTGATAGTAGAATTATATCACATCATAAATCATTTGATTAACTGGTCAACAAGATCTGCAATGCAAAGAAACCAATCTGTTTGGTGTTGATATTTTCTAATTGTTTATGCCAGATTCAAAAAACCAGAAGTTCAGTTATACTGTAAAACCTTAAATGGCAGCCCTGGGCTTTTATTTAATAGGATCCTTGAATGGGATTCTTTTCGAGATGGGTCTTTTCAAGATTACTTTCACAAAATAAAAAGGGGCATTTTCCAAAATAAATGCTGCAAATTTTGGAATTGCTTAGTACTGTAATCTACAACATTTTTCAACTACTGTATGAAATTCAAAATTCTGTTTAATTATTCTTAAATTTTAACCATGCTACAGTAGTTTGATACTGACACGCTATGACAATTATCAAAGACAACGTCAGTCTGAATGCAAATACAGTACTATCTCGAAAGAACCCAATATTTCTTGGAAGATGGGTTTCTTTTTTAGATTACGTTTGCAAACAGAGAAGGGGGCTTCTTTTTGAGATGGGCTTCTCGAGATTAAGCCAATTGGGATTCTATTCAATGCTTTTCAGTACTGTAGTCCTTAAAAACTGATTCTCCATGGATGGTTTTTTTCAACAAACAAATTTGGCCAAACCACACTATATACAAGACAATAAAAAATATAAAAAGTATGCTGTAAGAATTGCAATTGGGAGCATTACGCTACAGGTACTGTGCTTGTCTAGAAACCATACGACCAAAAAGAAAGGATTTCCTTTCATTTAATATTAAGGCTTGATAAGAATCTATTTAAAAAAAAATTGGATTAAATTTAATACTAAGTGGGATTTAGCCAGCAGATGGCTCGGAGCTCCGATCACCTATGGTATTTTCTCCAAGAACGTACAACAGTATGCAACACAACCTTTTTTGTGTATTAAGTAATCTGCAGGTGATAGATTCAAGACTAGAACTTTGATAGTAAACTGTGGTGATCAATTATGAAGGGGAAGGGAAAGAGAAACCCTGCATGATAACATATGGTGGCCTTTTGACCCTTGTGATAGGATTTATTCATGTATATTCAACCAGGGGATGGTTATGACAGCTTAACTGATAAATGATACTAAAACAATGTTTTGCTTTACTTTGTATAAATGTAGAATACATATTACTTTCACTGAAAATTAAAATGCAAGAATATTTTATCTTTACTCTGCTCTTCAAAAGATATGTTCCAAATATAACTAATTTTCTATATTTTTCACATATATTTCTGGCAAAAAACTTAGGATTTGTGTAGTATTTGTCTGCAGTTATTGAAAACTTACTTTCTTGATTGCTACACCGTAGCAGAAATAATCGGTTTTGTTATTACTTATCTCATGAATATCAAGTAGTTTAAGCAATAGTTCAGTAGAGTACCAAGACATCTAACATTTTTTTTTCAAAATTCAGTAGTATACAATATACAGTAGCCTACAGTATTATTTATGGAGCTGGTGTATAGTAGTATCCATTGGAACAAATAACGTTCACAGGTTGGTAGGCAACAAAAAAAACTAAAGTGATCTGAACTGTGTAAATGATTGTTTATTTTATATATGAAATGAAGCTTAAAAACCAATTATATTATACTTAGAATTCCAATTATTAATAACATGGATGATTAATAACAACCATTATCATAAACCAGTGTTATTAATGGTCTCAAGACATGGCATTTTTTAATCAAAGGTGATACAAAGTTTAATATAAATTAATTAGTGACATAAAGGTATACTGTATAATCTTGCCTATAAGGCGATCCGCATATAAGACGATCCCCAAGTTTGATGATTTTTGTATGTCGGGTGTATAAGAACCCCATCCCCCACCCCCGCCCCCGCCCAATTTCACCGTCAGAATTCCTACTTTGCTGCTGTTGGTCGTCTTGATACTACATGTAGAGGCTCAAAATGGAGCGGAATGTAGCTAATCTTTCAAATAATACCATTTTATGGGCTTTAAATGTTCATGAAAATCTTATTTTCCTACATTTAAAATTGCGTTCATTCATACTAAAGTCGGGCACTCACTGCGTCGTACCACGGTCATACGACCGTCACATGATCAATCCAACTCCGCTACCTGTGAAAGGCAGTCTGAACGGATCGCCATTAAAAACGATCCGTTGCGCAAAAAGTTGTATGTGTTGTGCCTAAAAGAAGACTCCTCCCTGATTTTTGAAAACAATTTACTATTTTAAGCCTGGTCTTATACAGTATATAATATACGATACCACAATCACTCTAATATACAGTACTGTACCATAGTTCCGCTATAGAAAGAATGGTTTAATACCAGTGTATCTCTTACTAATAAAATCCTTTTAATATTTAAATGAATATAATCTTTTAAGAAAAATTTAAATTCATTGATTAAATTTAATGTTTGATTAAGTGTAAGATGAATTATTTCATTGATATAGGAAACAATATTCTTTAGAAGTTGAGCAAAGTGAACACAGTCTGATAATCATCTGACTGTTCATTCCTATACTTTCTTTTTGTTACAAAAATTCTTATCCAGTAGAAAAGAAAAATAGAATGTTATCAATGTGACAGCTTTAAGTAGGCTATCAACCCTGTTTCAGGAAGTATTTAGTTTTCAAGTACTATTATGGGTCGTTGGATGTGGTGGATAGAATATGACGGTTGCTGTTTTGTCTGTGTATGGTAGGCCATCATTTCCTAAGGATGCACGTCCTACAATTTTATCGACATCACCATATGAGGGTGTCTGTAAATAGCGAACTTTAGCTGTGACGTTCTTTGGAACTCTGACGTTTGTCCGTTTATGAATCATGTGTTAAGCCCTGTGACTCAACTGAATTTTTTGCTGTATATACTTTGACCTCATTTATTTGGTAATTAAAAATCAGTGCATTCTTGGGACCTACAAATTAATTGGTACATCTATTAATGATGCAGAAGTTCCTGTTTAATTAGCCTGATATTGTCAATCAGGCTATCTGGATATGACTTTTTGACCTCAAATTCTTTGTGACCTCCCAGGAATGGTTGGGTCACTTTCCAAAGAAATTTTAAGTTAAATATAAGACTTTTAATTATTTAATTCTGATTTGATTGTACAAGTCATATACAACAAGTATGCTATGGTCAAGACAATTACAGTATACAGGTTAATATAACTGTAGTGTAATTATTATTGGTATAGTGCATAATCTATTAGCACAGTATCTATAGGCCTATCCTTGATAGAAATTGATAAACAAATATGATCAGAAAAAAACAAACAATCTAAAAAAATTAATTTTACTTGTTAACTACTATAGCCACTATGAGCATATAAATTCAGAAGTGGGGAATTAAATGCAATCTATCCATGGAGGTATTATAATACACTATAATACCTCCATGATCTATCTTAAGTCTTTGATTAAATTTAAATAAAACTACTTAGGTTAAACAGGAAGGACATCGTAATCCAGGATCTTTAATCTCTGACCTGAAGTGACCGCTTATATTATAATAATGGAGAGTGGTATTCTTATACTGTAGTTTAAAAGCTTATATTGGAAGTGATCAGGTTTTTATATTTGACTATATTCTTTTGAAAATTTTTGAAACAATTCCATCCAGATCAAATACAGTAAAAAATATATAATACTTTGGGTAAACCTCATATCATGAAAATGAATAAAAATATAAAAATGTTGAAAATGACAAAATTGTAGTATATGATCTATTAAATAGTGTATTCAACAAAAGCTTAGCACCGCCCATTGTTGCTGACTTAGATAAATTTCACAATAAAAATCCATCGATGGTTATTGATTTTGTTATAATTTGTCTGCTAAACGAATATCAATTCAACGCTTGTTACATCAGTAAAATGTGTTTCACTTTAATGACCATACATTTTGTGTTAATTACTTTGTAGTTAATGTATGCAAAGAAGTTTGCATTTGCAAGACTATCATGGACTAGTAAATCCGTCCTAAAGCTTCCTTACTGTACAAATTAGGATTAATTGAGGCCCATTGGAAATACAGTCAATTACAAAATAAGCAATTACTTATGAGTAGGCCTATTATTGACAATCATTAATTTCTATTATTTTAGATTGAACATTCAATTTCGTATTCATTACTATACACAAGCATCTACTAATTAAAATATAATATTTACAGATAGAGATGGTTCCTTATCATGTTTCAGCTGCTTGCCTTTTCTCTTGAGTGGGCATACTCTAACAAGGTTATTGAATAGTAGAGTCCCTTGCAGTCCCATGGGACTGTATGAATTATGACATGGTGATGGGCTAGGCAAGCTGCCTTTGCTTTGAAATTGATGTAAATGCATGAATTTGCTTGCATGGTCTCCATGGTAATTAATTTTTAAAGTTGAAAGTACTATATTTGGAGATGTTGTTCTTAGCACTGGGCTTCAGATAACATACCTAAAGACTGGTAGCATGAATTACAGGTAGATCGGGCTTTATTTAGATTATCCTTTTCACATGAGCACATTGGTGTTCGAAGAAGTTGTATACTGTAGTACGCTTAGTAATCTTTGGCTGTGGTGCCAAACTCCACATTTTTAAATATTTTCAAGATGAGAAATTCTATTAAATACAGCATTGTGTACTGGTAGTGGAATATTTCTGGCCCCTGGATTTTTATATGTTTTTAAAAATTATATATTTTACATATTTGATCAATTGGATTTATTTTCCTATAATCATCTATTTTTCACTTTTGTTTTTAATTTACTTTATGATATATCATGTAACAAAATTAATTTCTTCATTAAAATAAAATACCTATTATTTTGTTTTTTGACACTGTCTCAATTTTCCAAATTTCAATTTTTTGTTGAATGATTTTTTTCTGTTTCTATTTTACTTAACAGGTGGAAAAAGTAAGTATAGTTGCTTAAGTTCTGTTGCTTGACCTTTGATTGGTGTTTGGTTTTTTGTGCATTTTTCTCATTGTTTTTTAGTATAATTTACATCTCCATCAAATATACAAGTTCATTGCATTGAGTGATAATCCAAATGAAGAATAAAACAATATGGTGCTGTGCCAGTGTTAGAGATTCTTTGGTGACAGAGTCTAAAATCTCTGACAGGGGTTCAAATTCACCTGGGCGGCACCATAATTGGTGCTGATGTGAGAAAATTTTAGGAATAGGCACGTAATGTAGATGCCCGGAAATGATACTCAGACTGTAAAAATGCTTTTTCAAAGCCGTGTTCCCCAACAAAATAATTAACTTCTTCTTCGACTGATAGTTAAATGATCGTCACAAAAAAATTGTGATTGTAATTATATAATAATTTTAATGTTAGTGGTGGTGATAATTGGTGATTGGTTATATTGATGATGGTGTTCATGTTGGCATGGATGATAGTGATCATAGTGGTTATAATGGTGGGGGTGGTGATGATGGTAATTCGATGGTAGGGGGTGTGCATCTACAGTATGTGCATTTTTGTTAACGATGGTATGGTACAGTAATACTAAAGTTTGATAGTTTGAGTGGTTTCAGAAAAAAATTATGTCACAATACTATTGAAAGAGTAAACAAATTTGTCTTTAAAAAAAGAAACATATAGTAACATTGTGGTTCACAATAGTGTGAGTACTAACAGTATGCTGTGTTGAAGCAAGGAATGCCAGCTATTCCGGGCCCCCTACTGTAAATTTTTCAAAATTTATTAAAAAACGGAGAAAGAAGAAACTTATATTCAAATTTAAGTCTGATTGTGCCATTTCCAGTCATCTATTGTAGAGGTGCCATTTAAGCATAAACCACGATGGGACTGAGGTGGTCTACTGTACACCCTCCACCTTTAAAAGTTTCTCCCAGGCCCCTCTATTTTTGGATTCCTGGATTCGCCACTGGGTAGTGTTTGCGGGCATGTCCAATCATTGTTTTTAATTTCACTGTTGTCTTGCCTGATTTAATAGATTTTAATTACACTCATATTGTGTATTTTTTAATAATTTGACAAATTTCTCTTTTACTCGGCTTTTGTGGGGATGTCCTACTGTAGTAATATAATTGCACTTCAGTTATAGTTTTCTTGCCTGATTTTTAATCAACATCATTTTTGACATGTCTTACTTGATCTAAATTCCAAGTTGTTCACCTGAATTTAATTTTACTAATGCACCTTCTAATAAAAATTTGTATTAGCTGTTGAGTCAGCTTTGCTGTACTGTACATTTATTAAAGATACAGTAAGCATTAATTTTGTTTTAGAAATTACCAGAAATTTTAGAGTATTCTCCTGAGTGTTATATGTGGTGTTAAAACACTATTATATAAAACTCAAACGTCTTCAACATCATGCTCGAGGACCAATGCTGGTCGTATCGCCACTAATAAAGGGCGCCCATACAGTACATTTAGCCTTACAACATCTATCCTTACAAAGAAATACATTCCATTTATACACTCTTGCTTTTTGTCTGATATCATGTTATATGTGGTACACTATAAAATTAAAAATACAGTGTATCCAATGATCTAACTTCAGTAGGGAGGCTTTATTCAACATCATGCTCCAGGACCAATACTGGTCGTCTCACCACTCACCTTGCATTTAGCCTTACAACACCAAGTAACTCAGACACCTTGTGTGATGCATTAGGGCAAATTAATTGCTAGTTTCACGTCGGGGATTTGAAATTTTTCGGTGAGGGTATTTACAATTTGCTTTTTACTTTATGTTATACTGTACTGGATACAGTACAATGGTAAACAGACTGGTAAATAGTAAAAATAATGTATTCCTGCCATTTATGTTCCCACCTTTGACATCATTCTTTCAGATAGTTTATTTTTATTGTCCATTGAAAATGAATGTTTTTTTGAAAAATAGCAAATAGTAAATTTTTTAATGAGGCACCAAAATTTGATGAGGGTAGGGACGTGAAACTAGTAATTAATATTATTTTGCCTTTCGATACCAAATCGTGAGCTTTTACTTTATCATTCCTTTTTTCATTCACTCATTCCTTTTTTTCATTCATTCATTCATTCAAACAACACATGATTTTTCTAATTTCACATTTCCTTTATCAACAAAAAGTCTGTTATGCCATATTTTAGACAATATTGTTGGGGAATTCTGGGTCTACTGTATACTGTATTTTAGTTTTTATAGTATTGACCGTGCATCTGGAATGAGATTCTTTAATACACGTGGTGTCACTTCTTCCTTGGCAGATTGCAGTTTTAGTTCTACCACATTTAGACAACCTTTTCATATCACTAGATCCTTTTTATATCAGTCACTTTATAGTACTGTAGTGCTGATAAGTCATTAATTTCTGGTGGAATTAGTATTAAAAGAAAATAGTGTTTTGATTGTAAGCCAGTGTTCATTGATATGCATTCTTACACATGTTCACATGAGCATCAAACTTTCTTCACTTTACTTGCTTTGTTTACATCAATTACCTGAAACATGTTCATTAATAGAGCCACATGTTCATCTGACTGTAGTCTCACATATAGAGGCCTATGGTCATTATAATTGTCCAACATATTTACATATTATGCCACAAATATGATTTTTCACAGATGTTCATATTATGAGAGTTATTTGTTCATACTGACTATATAGTCTCACATATACAGTATGGTCTATGGTCATATAATAGTCCCACATGTTCACATATAATTATTCAACATGATTTTTCATGTGTATATTCATATGAAGAGTTACACATGTTCGACTGTCGGTCTCACAGAGGCCTACTGTATGGTCACATTAATACTAATATATTCCCACATGTTCACTTAATTATTCCACATGATTTTTCATATGTTATGTTCATGTGATAGTTACACATGACACTGATTATCTCATGTATATTAACACTTCCCACACTATTACATATTTCCACATGGTATTTGCACACATCACACACAGTCATATATGACTTGCCCATATATGAACATGGTGATCTGTCATATATGGGCCAATCACTTTTAATAGAATGTAGCTACCAAAAATATGAAACACTTAATTATGTATTGCCACTTTAAATCAAAAATGGAAAATTTAAGAAATAGATATATAATAAATGGTAAATTAATAATAATAAAACTAATTTTTTATAAATATTTTCATTGAATTTTTTTTTTAATTGTTTTCATTAAAAAAATAATAATAAAAAATAACAATAAATAATTAAATTTTATATAATATTTGTTTTATACAGTAGCTGTGTGAGGTTTAGAATTTTTTCTATGTACTGTACATCCGATCTATCATTCATATATGTAATTCAGGATTAAATGCTTTGGGTACTAATTTGTGATACTTTCACATCTATTCATGATTAATAGCATATTTATCGAATGTATTACATTTCCATATTTTACTACATAGTGCTATAGTGTTGTTAGTAATGTATTTATGCGATATATTTGTAATCTGCTGATGTCGTATGTGCCTAAGTCTATCAAGTATTCAACATGGTACAGTGATTAGCATTTACAGTGCTTCTGTAATTTATAAAACGAATTTTTATTCTTTTTATGATATTGATTAGTAGTACTAAATGTCAAATGAATAGTGAACTAGTCACATTCCCGATTTGATTTAGCTTGCATGTACCTGTAAGATCCGTCTACAATTTATCTGAGCGTACGATCAAATATTGCTTTTTCTGTTCTCCCTCAATGTACGTTTTTTTTCAGTCTTGCATAATATTGAGCTAATCTATGTGAATACAGTCCATTTTACCCAGTATTAAATTTACCAAGGAATTTGGTTTATGTTTACTACAGTGTAATATGTATAGAGAGCAAAATGAATCAAATTGTAGATATTTACGTACTCATTGGTATTAGAGAGCCACTAGACAGTGATTTAGTTCAGTTTTTGGTAATCCTATCGGGCCAATTGAGTGCTTTTTTCCTCTCTCTGTTATTTTGTATTTGTCAGTTTTATTGTTCTTCGGACCAAATAAATGAAATGAATATAATAGGTACATTAATGCAAAGAGTGAATGTACAGTAC